TTCATAAAGGCACTAATCTTATTCTTGAGGGCTCTACCCTCATGACCTAGTCACCTCCCAAAGGTCCCAGTTCCTGATACCATCACCTTGGGGATTAGGTATCAACATAAGAATTTGGGGGGAGCACAAACATTTTACCTATGAGACCATATAAGGCATATTACAGGTTGTGGGAATTAGGACAGGATACAGACATAGTTTTTGGCAACAACTATTCAACCCACTACAATTGCTTTTACACAATTCTAAATGAAGTGTTTTAGAAATTAGGGGAATTTTTTTGTAATAGATGTCAATTTCCAATTTTTCATAAATAATTATGTGCTGGTTCATATTATTTTTCTAATTAGCCTTATAAAAAATCTTTAGTTATTGCCCTGGCTGGCGTACGTAGCTCAGTGGATTGAGCGCGGGCTGCGAACCAGTGTCGCAGGTTTGATTCCCAGTCAGGGTTCATGCCTGGGTTGCAGGCTATGACCCCCAGCAACCACACATTGATGTTTCTCTCTCTCTCTCTCTTTCTTCCTCCCTTCCCTCTCTAAAAATAAATGAATAAAATCTTTAAAAAATTCTTTATTGCTTAAAAATGCTAACCAGTACCTGAGCCTTCAGTGAGTAAAAAAAAAAATTCTTTAGTTAGTATGACCTTATTACAATTAACATTTTCAGAGTCCTTTTAAGTACAATGATAATTTACATCTAAAAATAGATTTATATTATTGACATTTTGTGGGCCATGCCCTGCTGATACCTCTCTTGTCTAGTTGTCAAAGTAAATCAGTCAAGAGGATTTACAAGATGGTCTACTTTAAGAGAAAAAAAAGATCCCTGGGATTAGATTTTAATTTTAATTCACTTATGTGTTGGAAAAGAAAATATTTGGTTCAGTTTAATTCCTATTATAAAATTAAGGTGAGTTGTCACCTAAACTTAAACACTGTATATTAATTTGACATCACTATATCTTTTTATAGAAAAAAGAGGAAATAGCAAAAAAGAAACAACCCTAGTTTGTTATTCTTTAAGGATCATATTTATTCTTTTAGGAGAAAACATAGGCTATTTTATAGATGGGTTATAAAGAACAGCTCATGTTTTATCTATAGACCATCTAGAAGAATTTACGGTGAAGCCAAAAGTTGATTTAATATGGATTTAATTTGGAACTAGTTTTCTGAGTACATTATTTCTGGATTGTATTTTGAAACATAAAATTCTGAATAGTATAAAGCATTGATAAGGATTCATAAAATGGATGCACCCTAATTAAAATTTGAGAAATTAAAGAAATAATTACTCATAAAACATGTAAAGAAATATTCTGATATTCTGTACAACTGAATGAGAAAGGTCCCTGAATATAACACTAGAGTCTAACTATTGACCGCCGCTAATAGCATCATTACTTTTTTATCCTACATCTTCTTCTCCATAAAGTAATCAACCTGCATTGATTTCTAGAAAACAAGGTGAAGTTTTAGTGTGGCAACATAGGCCACCCCATACATTTTTGAAAAACACTTGGTGAGAGCTCAGAACAAGCCAACACAACATGTGCCTCTGTGATAGAGATGACTTTGAGATCAAGCCAACCTTAGTCACAGGCTCAAGAGATACTTCTGCCCTTCCCTTTACCTAGAAGAACTTGATTTAGGGGATCATGATCATAAAGACATTATCAAAGATAACTTTTTGACCTATCTATAAAGCTGGGAAAACTTGTATTTACTGAAGGTCTGCTCTTATCCCGCAATGACCCTTTGAAGCCCCCAGGGTGCATTACTTCATCCCTAGCTCAGAAAGACATCAGTACCTCAATCCCCCTTTGTGCCTCTGACCCGCTTGTGCATGTGAGGTCTCTCACTCTGTCATTTAGTTGGGATTCCCATACTTATGCATGTATTAAATTTGGTCATTTTCTCCTGCTAATCTGTGTCATGTCCATTTGATTATTAGACTTGTCAGAAGAACCTTGAGGGTAGAGGCAAGTTTCTTCCTCTCCAATAACTTGAAATAGCCAAATATTTTTAGTAGCCATTAAGTCACCTTTTCATTACCATCAACGATATATTGTATTCTTTATACTCTAAAACATTATAAAAAGATATAAGTAAACTGGAACAATGGTACATTTCTAAAGACTTTGACAGATAACTGGGATTTAGAATTCCAAAGAACAAGTGTTTGAATTCCAGTGGACAAGACAGGTGAGGTTTTGTACAAGACTTGAACTTAGAAATTCACCAGGGAAGGAAAACTGAAAAAGTATATTTGTAAGCAGGAAGAGCACCCTCCAAGTTGGTATATTAAAGTAGGAATGAGTAATAACAGGCCTGACATGGTACCAATTTGATCACTCTGGAAAAATGACTCCACACCTGAGTCTTTAGGCCCTCGGTTATAAATGTGATTTATAAAATACCACTCCCTGTTAGTTAGGGGATTATGATAATTAATTGAGTCTTTAGAAAATAATTGAACACTCTAAGCTTTTCTCTATGCACCCTGTTATAAGTAAAACCCATGGGATATAAGTGAATTACAAATAAACCAAATTTGCTGATACAATTGCCCAGCTTCTCACCACAGCATTAACCCTGCTTTTGTAGAGGAGAGTAGAATAAGCTTTATGCCCTACTTGTACATCAGGAAGCCGTTCCCAAAATAGTTGCTTTTCCAATTTAATGGACAGCCTTTCAGCTTGCTTTAAGGAGTGCTGGTCTTCTGCTTTTTTTTTCCTTAGTCAGACACAAATTCTAAAGTAATGCCTTTTATTTTTAAAGCTAAAGGCCAGTATATGCATTGTATAACTTTATCTACATAAATGTATATAAAATATAGTATATTAATTGTTGTAAAGAAAGGGATGAAAATAGTATATTATTGCTATATCTATCAAGCAGAGAGTTCCTGGATTATTGGCCAATTTGTTGAAAAAAGACTTGGATTTGGGATGGTCTTTCTGGAAGAAAATAGGCCAGTTAGGTTAAGGAACTGTGAAAATTTTGTAGAAATGTCGGTGGGCTCCTAGAATGTGGATTGTCAAGATCTCTGTTATTTTATGGGCTTCCATAAACCACCATGATAATTAAGCACAGACTGTAGGGACAGAGTCCAATTTTCAGGAAAGCCTCAGGCTTTCCTCTGAGGCTTTGCCTTGAACTCAGGGCAGCTCTCTCTGCCAGAGAAAACTGAGAGAAAATGTATTTCCTCAAAATATAAAAAAAAGGAAAGAAGGAAGGAAGGAAGGGAGGGAGGGAAGAGGGAAGGGAAGGGAAGAGGGAAGGGAAGGGAAGAGGGAAGGGAAGGGAAGAGGGAAGGGAAGGGAAGGGAAGGGAAGGGAAGGGAAGGGAAGGGAAGGGAAGGGAAGGGAAGGGAAGGGAAGGGAAGGGAAGGGAAGGGAAGGGAGAAAAAAAAAAGAGTTTCTGTTTTTGGATGGGCTGGTTACTTGTAGGATGGAGCTGCCATTCTTTTTTTTTTTAAGATTTTATTTATTTATTTTTAGAGAGGGAAGGAAGGGAGGGGGGAGAGAGAGAGAGAGAGAGAGAGAGAGAGAGAGAGAGAGACATCAATGTGTGGTTGCTGGGGGTTATGGCCTGCAAACCAGGAATGTACCCTGGCTGGGAATTGAACCTGGGACACTTTGGTTCCCAGCCCCGCTCAATCCACTGAGCTACGCCAGCCAGGCTGCCATTCTTGAATTGTAAGACGCACTGGACCTTAAGACACACCTAAGCTTTAGAGGAGGAAAATAGGAAAAAAAAAGTTTGAAGTAAAAAATGTGATAAAATATTTAATAACATAAATAACATAGCCTTACCCCCACAATGACCCAGGTAAGCTGCATTCGAACTATAAGATGCACCCTTTTTTCCCCCAAATTTGGGGTAAAGTCTGTCTTATAGTCTGAAAATATGGTCACAGAGGTTCCCAAGAATGCGACCCCACTACTGTTACCTCAGACCAAGGATACCCATTTAGGATAACTCCTCATACTTAGCACAAGTTAAAACTTTAATTCTAGCCTTATTTCTCAAATTTTATCCATGACTTTCTCATTCTTACCAATCTTCATTCTAGTCCCTACCCTCAGTTCCTTGTTGACTTGGCAGCGAGAACACAGACTTTCCTCATCCTCTCATACAACCTCATCTGACCTGGTGGCTGCCTTGCTTTCACTGAGCACTGCAGAACAGTGGCCCTGGGTGCAAGGCAGGCAACCGGTTATTTCATTGAAAGAGTTGACGTTTTCTTATCTCTAAATCTAAGCACAGGATGCTTGGCCCAAACCAAATAAACTCTTAAATACTAGCTGCCATATACCCATTGCCAGATTTAAGATGAAATAAAAGTATTTTATGTATTAGGGGGATTTAGCAGGTTCATCTGTTGCCCAGACTTGATTAGGAAGTGTGAATTCTAAATCAGAAGAATCCCAAAATGCTTTTTTTCTTATGGCCTAGTTTGAGTCATTGTCAGACATGTGGATTATTGATAGTATTTCTAATAATTTTCTTTTAAACATTCTACTTATTTCCATTGACAGTGGATATTTTATTCAACTGAATTATACTCAGTGAATTCCAATAAATTTTCTTCTCATGTTGGTAGATATGTAATCTATTGTTAATTATTGTTTAAGAAACTAATTTTTCACTTTATATTTTTATTGTTTCTCATGTACATGTTTAATCATTTTTATACCTTAGTAGTTCTATCAATAGATTAACAAAGAAATATGAATATAGATATATGCACATATATATCTATAGATGTCACCTATATTTATAAATATGTACATAGACAGGGTAGGGCAAAGAATAAACTGTGTTTTGCGTACTCACAATAGTAAACCTACTTTTGCCTAATCCTGTATATTCAATTTTGCTAATTATACTAAATGATGGTCACAATTTATTGGGGTGACTTATAGCTGTTGGATCCAATGAGGCTTGTGGAACTCAGTTTTTCATGTAACCCTTGTATGTCTGTTTCTTTAGATAATCCAGAGTCTTCTCTACCTCTCATCCTCTGTATCGCCTTCAAATATCACACCTGAAGGAATAGTGACTGGGCTTAACCATCCCACATATAAACCAAAGAAGTCTGTTCAAGTGGGGATCAGTCAACAGGTAAATAATACTTTTAACTCTGTTTTTCTTGATTATGCCCACAAATAAAAGCTGCAAGTTGTATAGGAAAATAACATGAGTCCAATGAGTTTATATAACTCAGACCTTGACTGTTAGTTAATTTAAGAGTTGTTAATAATAAACAGGAGACAATCTTGAAAGTAGAAATTTTCAAAGGTTCAGTGGTTTGGGGTTCACTTTGCAATGATTTAGTTAAGAAGTCATAAGATTTCAATTTATGTGGAAGAAACAAAACAGGTTGGAGATAAGGAAGTATGAAGAGATATAAGAGCATGAGTTGCAATCTGGAGTATGTGGTTATAATTAAAATTAAGGAAATATGCTGGAAATGGAGAACAAAAGATCGTATGTTAAGAAACTGGTGAATTATGAAAAAATAACCCTACAAAAATAGAAAGAAGATTAAAGAAAAAAGTAACTCAATCCTATAATGATTTTTTAAAGGCCCCTTCACTTCTCTGTGAGCATAGATTTCTGTCTATAAAATGGAAATCTCAACATTAACCTATCTCATCAGTAAATTTTAATATTAATACTTATAACACAATTGTGTATCAGTAAATTCAGTGTTCACATTGATATAACTATTTAAATATATACATTGAAAATTATTTAGAAATGTTATTTTTGACTTCTGAAATGACTAAAAATAGATTATCCAGTTGTATTTTTAAGTGTTTATTATAACACTTGTAATAAAAACTGCAATAGTTTAAACTAATGGATAAATAACAAAAGACTTTTTTTTATACAAGCAGAAAAATTGCACAATGAGGACTTTAAATCTTGTAATTGTTTTTATACTTTGGAAATAAAAAAAAGTAGGTACCCACTCAAATGCCCTTTGGTATTTCCTCAATATTCTAGGTATTAAAAAAGATATTTTCAAGAAATAACAAAGTTGACTACTTTAAAATATACTAACAAACTCCAATAGTATGTAAATTCAGATCCGGATTGCTGTTTTCAGCTGATTTGACCAATAGGTATAATGTTTCTTTTTTATTTTCTTAAGTTTTATACTTTTTAAAAGTATTATTTCCAATGATCACATGCTCTAAACCATCATTCTAGGTTAACTGATAGTGAAGGAGAAACCTAACTTCACATGAAATAGATGATTTTTGCTATTTCTAAGAAAACAAAAATTGCCAGAAATGCAGACTGTAAATATACGAAAGACACACGTCTTTTCATGGCATCAGCATGTGTCAATGACTAGATCAGGACAAATATGTGCTGCTTAAGTGCTGGGGTCCTAGTCAGAGCCATTGCACAAGAAAACAAAAGGCATCCAAATGGAGGGAAAGAAGCAAAACTGTCTCTTTTGCAGATGACATGACCTTACATTATAGAAACCCTGAAGACTTGATCAAAAAACTGTTGGAACTAATCAATAAATTCAGTAAGTTACAGAACACAAAGGAACATTGGTGTTAAGGAACAAAGATATTTTTAACTTATTATGAATTGTGAAATTATGTGTGATCATTGCTTCCATTGGATAGTGGTCATTCCATACCATAAACCTAGCAGGTAAGTGATCCTAGCATATCCAGAAAGACAGTACTTTTCTTATAATAAACAACAACATACCATCCATCTGACTGAGAGAATTTTATTGATACAAAAAACATGTAAAATAATAGGAAATAGTACCAATTTTGGAACTGCATTAAAACGAACTTATTTCATTAGAACCATACAATTTCTAATCTTATAGTTTTACAAAACAAATCTATACTAAAATATTTTAAGTACTCTCAGGTATTAAAAGTGAAGTTCTAAAATATGTGTACTCTTTATTTCTTTATAATTCATTGGCTTTAATAAATAGGCCCTTTTAACCTTTGTGTGAAAATGCAAACATTTGGATTTGAAAATAATTCTGTTTTAAGTGGAGATGGCTCCATTTTTTTCATTCTTAGAAACCAGATTGAGACAGCTTTTAGTTTTTTGGCTGGTACTTCAATACAGATCTGAAATCTTCCCTTAGAGTACTTTTTGCTTCCATAAACATATTAAATGCTTTCGAGTCCTAGCATATAACAAAGTTGCATACCTCACTTAATATTTTTGGTAAATTTTCTGCTAACTTTCTAAGTACAAGAGTATTAAAAATATTCATGAAACATTATATAGTTGTAGTTATAACTGGAAAATACTGTTTTAGTGACTATAAAGAGTGAGATATAAAAATGAAAATATGGTTTTAGGCTTTACTTCATTTCTTTAATATAGGTTACCTAAGTTTCCAACAGAAGAGCAGAAATGCCGCCACCCGCAGGTGGCCTACCACTGAATCCACCTCCTGATGGAGGATGGGGCTGGGTAGTGGTTGGAGCGTCTTTCATCTGCATTGGATTTTCATATGCCTTCCCCAAAGCCATCACAGTATTCTTCAAAGAAATCCAGCATATATTCAACACTACCTACAGTGAAATAGCATGGATATCATCCATCATGCTGGCTGTTATGTATGCAGGAGGTAAGGTTCTTTTCCATAAATAGAATTCTGGATTAAGAAAACAATTCCTTCATGCCACGATGTTTCACATGTAGTGTCTTGGTACATCAATCCCTGTTTTCATGTTATTGTCACTTTAAATCAACTAAAAGAATAATCAGAACTGAGTTTTTAATAATTTCAGTGATTCAGTATCTTAAACTACTCACATCATTCTAAGTCTCACTAGAATATTGTTTGACTGGGATTTCTTTGCACAAATGAAGATTTACTAAATTTTGGAACTTCTAAGCACATTTGCATTTAATTTGGATTGAGGTCTATACTACACTGTTAGTATCATCCTTTACTATTGCTACAGTTAGTAGAAATGCTTTCTTCTGAATAAGAAAGAAACTCAAGTTGTTGACAGTCTATCAGCTTAGGAAGTACTTCACCTTCAGCCATAAAGGTAGAGCATTATCATGTTCCTTTTGGGCCCATTCAGGTTTGTGCAATTGAAATAATTCCTTATCTCTGTAGTACTTACTAAATATGACATTTTAAAATGAAAATGGTTGCCTGACAATTATTTTGTTACTTTTCATGTTAAATGAGGGTATGAGTCAGGAGGGATAATGAATAAATCAAAGTACCATATCATTTCTGAATGTTGAAAATACATATATGTGTATATAAATTAATTAGTGCATTTGTATGTCACCTCTCTTCTTTCAGTCAATATCAACAGCACACCAAACTCTCATAGATTTGTTAATCTATTGCTAATCATTAATTAAAATGTTAATCATTAAATGTTAATCATCTATTGTTAATCATTAATTAAAATCTATTTGCTAATCATTAATTAAAATGTTTATATTTGAGTTTTTATTTTTCAACTGCATAAGTGACTTTAAGAGACAAGTATAAACTCAGAACATAAGTGCTTAAAGAACACATACAAATAATCTATTTCAGTTCCTCACTTTCCAGGTGAGGATAATAATGATGGAGCTACATCATTACTAAAAGTATCCAATATTTATTAGTATTAACTTTTAGCTAAAGCCTCTCTAAATGTGTCACATAATGTAATCCTCTTAATAATCTATAAAATAAATATTATCTTCTCTCCATTCTATAGCTGAGGACATAAAGAGAAAAAATAGTTTTTCCAAGTCAAACAGCTCATTAGTGGCAGATAGAAATTGAGAGCCCAAACATTTCACCACTGTGCTCTTCTGCCTTTCTCACAGTTCCCTCCCTACCTGCAGAAAACGACAGAGCCAGATCTGGGCTCTGCTTTCTGCAGACCCAATTCAGGTGCTTCGCCCACCATGGTCATTTGTTTAGTGACATAATAATTATTCTTTAGGCTATTGCCTACTGCACACCAATGTAAAAATTTGATCTTCCAATATTCCTGCCTGTGTATATGTTTTCCACTTTATGTTAGCAAGTTTACATTAATTCAGTGTATGTCTCTTTTACGCTTTTTGTTAGCTTAATTGATGCATTTTTGTTCCAGTAACAAATGGTATCTTTAAAATGCTATTTGGGTATGTTAGGACAAATACTACTTCTAGCCCTGGCCAGTGTGGCTCGGACAGTTGGAATGTTGTTCCACAAACTGGATGGTCATGGGTTTGACTCCTTGTCAGGGCACATACCTAGGTTGTGGGCTCCATCCCTAGCTGGTGAACCTATTAGAGGCAGTCAATCAGTGTTTCTCTCTCACATGGATGTTTCGATATCTCCTCCCTGCACCTTCTCTCTTTCTAAAAAGTAATGAAAATAATGTCCTCGTGTGAGGAAAAAAATTCTACTCCTAAAACGCTTTCTGAGATTCTCCTTTGAGCAGTTGCTTTAAGGCTTATAACTGTGTCATTTCTGATGACTATAGAAGTAGTGATATTGTGTTTCGGGTTTTATTCCTCTATCTCATAGGTCAGGTGTTCTTTAATAATGATATTTTGCAAGATAACAGTCACCTTGTCCTGAGCTCCAAAATGTGCTAATGCTAAGATACATAGTTTCTCCTGCCTCTTAAATACACTTGAAACAATTCCTCTAGTGGATTAATATGTCTATTCAATTAGGAATTCAGGTCCTACAGATTCATAATTGTCTGTTGGGTAGATAACTGATGAACTAATAAGCAAGAAAGGAATTTGTATAACTTTTTATTTTTTCAAAAATATTTTATTTATTTATTTTTAGAGAGAGGGGACAGGAGGGAGAAAAAGAGGGAGAGAAACATTTTGATGTGCTAGAGAAATGCCAGTCAGTTGTCTCTATCACGCCTCCCAACCGGGGGACCTGGCCCACACCTCAGGCATGTACCCTGACCAGTAATCAAACCAGCAACCTTTCTGTTTGCAGAATGATGCCAAACCCACTGAGCCACACCAGTCAGGGCAAAATTTTGTATAACTTTTAACATTAGTGAAGCCTTAGTTGACTCTATTAGATTTAAGCAAGCAACCTCAATATCCCAGTGCCTTAACACAATACAAGTTTATTTTGCTCAAGCAATATGTGCTCAAGTACTGTTTCACCCAGTAGTTGTGCCATCACTTAAGGCTTTGTAGTTCCCAAAGCTGCTCCATCCAGCTGAACAGAGAATGAATTCAGACAGTGTGGAAGATCAATGGGATATTTTAGGGGCCAGGTCTGGAAGGGAAAAAAAACGTCATTTCTGCACACATTTTGCTGGTTAGAATTCTTATACCTCCCTACCTGGAGGCAGGGACTGGGGTTGCTGGGAATCACAGGCTGGCTTCCTAACAGATGAGACAAAGTAGGATAGTTTCCAGTGAGTCTCAGACAGAGCTGGATACCCCGACACTCATTCCCTACTCAGTGAAAGCAGAATGTGCTTACAGATTTGCAATGGTCAGGTGACAGCCTTCCTTCTACTCCGTGGCTGGGTCTAAAAGAAGACATAGATTTCTCAAAGCATTAAGTCTCAGTATCAATTTATAAGTAAATACCTATAATATGTTTATCATTAAGTAGATTTTGTATTTTATTCATTCTCTTTTCTATGAATACATTCAGTACAAATGTTAGAAAGTACAAAGGAAAACTCCATTCAAGTTCTATCAAGAAAATGGTAGATTGGTTAAATGGTTACTAATTTGGAAAAAAACTACCTCAAATGTTTAGGTTAATAGATGAATAAAACATGTCATTAAAGATAAACAGGCATTTTGTATCTGGTTGTTTTAAGAAAGCAATGCCAGGCTAGACACATGACATTACTTAGTATGTAGCAATTGATGGTAATGTTTAGGTGAGATTCAGGTAAGTAGTTGGAATTTGGCTTAAGGTCCTTAGTCACCAGGCATTTTGCATGTCATCTCTGGCCACAGAAATAAGTCAGGAGTTACAGAAATTCTGCTACTCTTGGTTTTCCCCTTAGAAGCAGGAAAGCAGTTCCAGGCCCACTGTCGACGGGATAGGAAAGTTACTCTCTGCCATGCCCACTGCTGAATGGAGACCTCGTACACTTATGAGGTTTATTGGACATAATATCCATGTCTTCTCTTGATAATTAGTTTTTAATCTTTTTTTAAGATTTATTTATTTATTTTTAGAGAGGGAAGGGGGGAGAGAAAGAGAGAGAGAGAGAGAGAGGGAGAGAGAGAGAGAGGAAGAGAAAGAGAGACATCAATATGCGGTTGCTGGGGGCCATGGCCTGCAACCCAGACATGTGCCCTGGCTGGGAATCGAACTTGTGATACTTTGGTTCACAGCCCGAGCTCAATCCACTGAACTACGCTAGCCAGGGCAGTTTTTAATCTTTTTAGCAAGATACGATTGTCACATTTAAAACTGTAATCTCAGTACAAAAACAATTCCTCCTCTGTGGGTGCAAATAATTTTTTCAGAAACATAACTGTTTACAACAAAAAGTCCAATAGATTTAATTAGTCAAGGACACAGACATAGGTCCTGTTGTTAAAGGGGCAGTGTTTTTTTAAGTGTGGTCCACAGATTTTCCACTTCTGAATCATGGATAGTTTGCTGAAAATGCATAGTCCTGAATCTTACCCCAAACCCCATTTATCAGAATTTCTGTTGGTAGAGTCCAGAAACTTGCATTTCAACCAGCATTTCTGAAAACTATTTCTATATAACATAAGGATTCTCTGTTGTACAAAAAAATAAATATTTGGTTTAAAAACATTTAAATTTTCTTTTAATATTTGAAAGATCTCTATTTATAGAGGCATTTTAGATGAATGATTATAAAATAAATTCAAAGACCATAAGGTGAAAAGACATATAATTTATTATAAAGTATGAATCTCTCTACCAAGTAACTGAAATACCCTGTTTGATATGATGCTAATTATATTAGCGTAGAGAACATCTAAGATCTGACACACTCATTAGGGCTTAGCACTCAACCTATTAATCACCATGGAGGGGTCACTGGGAAAGATGGAGTGTGTTCAGAGGCCTGGCCTGTGATGTCAGGGCTGGAGTTTCTTGTAGTAATTAGTTGGCATCTGGGCCTTTGTAGCAAGGTATTGTCTTCCCTTCTGATGTCTGAATTAAAAATGAAAGTAATAAAAGGTATGCAGGAAGGATGGGAAAGAATGCAAATTATGTTTATCCCTTACTTCATCCTTAGAATAATTACATTACATTACACAACCCATCTGCTTGTCCATATGGTCTCCTGGAGTTCTGACGAATTTCAGCAATAGGTCAGGCAGAGTGGTCACCCCATTAATAAAACACTAAGTAGAAGTAGAAAACATACTGGAATTTAAACTTTCTATATTGTTTTAGGTGGACATGAGGATTTAGATGGACCTAATCATGTGAAGAGCGATTACATAGGATTATCTTTTAGTGCAATCTTGATCTTTGTTACTCTGTTGAAAGATAATGTATACATGGTTAGCTACACAATTACTGAATGCCGGTCTGTGAGTACCTCATGTTGTTTTTCTAGTAATATTCGTTACCACTTGGAAGAGTCAGCCATTTTGGAAAGGGGAGTTGGCTTTGCCTCCTTGGTGATT